CATACGAAAGAAAAATCGAACTAAATCACCATATACTACTTTATTTGGATCGTAAGATACTTGTAAAACTTCAGCATGATTTGTTGTACCAGTACAAACATCTTCATAATTAGATTTCGAAGCACCACCCATGTAACCAACCATAGCAGAAATTAAATTAGTTCCAAATTGTTTACGAAAAAATTTCTCTGTACCCCAGAAACAACCGGCTCCAAAAGTAGCTAATTCTGCACCAGCTTTACCTGCAGCAGCCATATTGTTTTCTTCTTGTTGGAATAATGCTCTTGTTAAACAAAAATACACTGAAAATAACACGACGCAATGCACTGAATGCATTACATAAGCATCTTTTCTTTTTCTTTTTCTTTTTCCTTCTCGTTCTGTTCTTCTTGTTCTTGACTTATCTTATGACATAAAGAGAAAAACATATACGCCGACTGTTAATTTCTCTCTTTAGATATTTTTTTTTCTTTTCTTTCGGCGAAGAAATACATGGTATTTATATTACATTATCACATGGATCCGATAGAGAAAATAAAAATAATTGATTTGTTGAATAAAAAAAACTATTCAATTGAAAGATAAATTAAATATTACAGGAGAATTGCAATTCAATATTTTTTTTATATTAGAAATATTGATAATTAGAGCTCGCGGATATCTTTATACGATATTAAATGAGAGAAATTCTGTAAAATAAATTGACGAAGAGGATGAGTATTGATCATTGGTGGTGAAAGTATGATTTTACTACCGTGCCGTAAATAATCGATATGTCAACGGTCTAGACGCGGATATAATATAAGAATAAATGAAATCATAGTTGAATGATATAATAATCAATATGATCTGCTCGAGTTCAATGGTAGTGGAGACAAGGGAGCTTAGCTCTCTCTCTGAATCGAAGTTCTGGCTTCACCACTGGCTGATTCCATTGAAAACAAGAAAATATATTTTAAAAAATACATCGTAGATAAGTTGTTTAAAATACAATAGCAATATGAATAAACCATATCGATTATTGGATTATGATAAACAGCAGAATTTTGACATCACATTTTTTAATACTTAATATTAGAGTTTGAAATGAAAAAATACTTTTTCCCAGGTTAAAAACATGACTCAGAATACAATGAAATCATGATTCGTGAATTATATTTTACCATTGATAATCATACAATAAATTATCTCGAACATACTTCTTCAATAGATTTGAAGACTGATTTTAATTTACTAAGATACAGTTAAATCGACAAAAAAAAAGAATTCATGCAAATTCAAAATCTCTAACCAGATGTCACTAAATACTATATTATATAAATAGTACGTATTATACTTAAAGTACGATTGATATGAAAATAATCGAACAGTTTCTTTAAAAATAACAAATTCGATTACAATTCATTACAATATCGTAAATATATATTATATGTAGATAGAATATATATCATCAATTAAGTCTTGTTGAATCTACATTGACCTTCCCAACATTTATAATATACACTATTAAAAAGTCTACAACTCATTTTATTAATCATATTAACTATTTATATTATTAAAATTTTCAATATATTTATTCTTTAACTATGACTTTTCGAAAACAACGAATACATGTCGCGCTTCATTGAGTATCATAACAAAAAAACAGCACGTGAATAAACAATACAATCAATAACATTATAATATTCTTCGTGGTTTTAAATATCAAAACAATGGAAAAGTCTCTAATTATAAAAGACTTAAATTATGAAAGATTATCTCTTGTTTGGTTTGATTATCAAATAAGTCATTTACCAGAATATGTTAATCTTCAAGAAAAACTTCGAAATACCATTAATTATTTAAAAATATTTGAAAATCTAGATCAATGTGAACAATATATTCGATCAATATCTGATAATGATCGAGTTATCATAATTATCAATTATGAATCTGCTGAAAAGATTATATCACATATCCATTCATTAAGACAAGTCGATTCTATTTATATTTATAACATCGATGAGAAGATAAATAAAAAATGGATTGAAAAATATTTTAAGGTATGAATTTTAAATAAAAATTTTTTTTTTTATTCATCTATTTGTTAAGATCAAATGTATGGTATTAGAATTAGATGAACTTGTACCTAAAATTGAATTAAAACTTAATAAAATCGATGAATCCTTTGCAATATTTAGTTTTAAGACAAATATCAATCAAGATCAAGATCAATCAATAACGGAATTAAATAATCAATTTCTTTATTCTCAAATAATCATGGATTGTCTTCTTCGAATTGAAAATAATTTATCGGATCGTACACAACTTATATCTCTATGTCAAAATATATATAAAGATAATAAAATTCAATTAAATCATATTGAAGAATTCGAAAAAAATTATACATCAAATCAAGCATTATCCTGGTATATGAAAGATATATTTCTATCAAAAATTTTAAATAAAGCACTTTCTATACAAAATATTGATATACTTTTTTTATATCGTTTTTTTCTCTATGATATTCGAGAACAACTTATACAAAATCAATATCCATCATCGATTCATTTATATCGAACTTTAATAATATCGAATGATGAATTACAAATATTAAAAGATACTATAAATGGATTTATTACAATAAATACATTTTTTACAGCGAAATGTAATCGTCAATCAGCCCTTGATGAATTTGATCAATTGGTTTTAACAGATAATTTACAACGAATATTATTCGAAATTGATGCTCATCCTCAAGTAGATAATATTCAACCATTTTCTACTATTAATTCTTCTGAAATATTATTTATGTCAGGTTCAATTTTTCATTTAGATAATATTATACTTAATGATGATCAATTATGGATTATTCATATGACATTAACAAATTTTAATCATGAAAATTTAATAACACAATTTGACTGTATGAATAAAAAAATTCAATATAATAAAAATCAAATAAATAAATTAACATTCGGAAATATTCTATGGAAAATGAATAAATTAGATGAAGCTGAAAAATATTATTTATATATGATCGATTTATTACCTAATAATGATTTAAATTTACCAGATTTATACTATAATTTAGGACATATTTATTCTGATAAGAAAAATTACGATTTAAGTTTAAAATGGTATAATAAATCACTTGAAATATGGATAAAAATATTAAAATCAAATGATCCTGATTTAGCAAATAATTATAATGCAATTGCAACAAATTATTTAAATAAAGGTGATTATAAACAAGCATTTGATTCATTTGATAAAGCATTAAATATTCTTCGAAGTGCTTACGGTGATGATCATATAAGTATAGCAATGTGTTTAAATAATATGGGTACAGTTATAACAACTGAAAAAAATTATTCCAAAGCTTTAGATTATTATCTAAAAGCATTGACACTTTTTCAAAAATATCTTACAAATAATAATCCAAATTTAGCTAGTTTACATTGTAATATTAGTACAATATATAAACATCTTAATCAAATTGATTTTGTATTAGAACATTTAAATTATGCATTGAAAATCTATGAAAATTCACTTCCATTAGAATATTCAAATATTATTATGATATTAAAGAATATTGCGTTTCTTTACGAACAGAAAGAAGATTATCATCAAGCATTAATTTATTATAAAAAAATATCGGATATTTATCAACAAACATTAACTTTAACGGATCCCGTTGTTGTACAAAATGAAGAAAAAATTCAATATTTATTAACATTTCAACATGAAAAACATTCTTTTAATTAATATTTTTCTCTTCAAAGTTTTATAATAATCATGAATAAGTGTATATTTTGAATTCAAACTATTCTATATTACTAATATAACAAAAAAAATTATTGACTTCTAAATGATCAGTTTACTACCGAATCATCTATAACCTTATAATAGATAGTTAAATAGGAGGAAACAGTGTTATGATTTCTAAGATTTTTCAATTCAATTATAAATATCAGATGATTTGATATCGTCATAAGAATTTTACTTGTTCAGTTGTTATTGTAAGAGATAAAGATACTATTAATAAATATAAAACACACGTGCACGTTATACGTCCTTGATAAAAAAAAAAGAGTACGTATAGTGTGACGAAGCACATGTGATGTCATATTTGCTTAATCACTCGTACGAATACACGAGTATAATTTTGAAAAAAAAATACGTCAAGGACAAAGATGGAAAAATGTACTTTGCATAAAACATGTTGATATATTATCGTCTAACCAATACATTTTTCTGTTGTATACTTTGTAAAAAAAATAGACAAATTCATGATTGTGTTTTTTTTATGACACACCATAAAATATAAAGAAGTAAATGAGAAGGCATATTTATTGCACTATGCTTTTACTTTTTGAGATCGATATAGAAATGAATTTGTAACAAGTAGAAATAGGTACAATATCTCGATTATTATGAAGACATGCTTTATATATTAATCATTCAGATAAATAGAAAAAGAAAGAAACACATGAACATTATGAAAGAAATTATTAATAGATAAGAAGTAATACGTAATAATCATTTATAGTTACAACCTGAATGTTTATTACGAACATCGGAAGGTATTCTCATTTGAAGTGTAAAAAGATGACTTGTACACGATTTGTATAAGTTGTATCAGCCATTAACATGGAGCTACCAAATAGAATAACTGACAATTCGAACTAATAGAATTTATTAAATTTTATACAGATATATTTTTTTTATTTTTTAAGTAAATCTAACTAATATATTCACATAATAATGATTGATGAAGAGAACACATGGAATGATGAATAGTTAAATCCAATATCTACATTAATAAGAACAGAAATTTTCTTAGTCCAAGTTGCAAAAGAAACTTTTTTCGAAATACAAACTCACTACTTAATATATCATTTAATACATATAAATATCAATAGAGAAAAATATTTACACGAGTAAATAACAAAACATAATACAAAGTTCGATCCGTTGTTTTCAATCGAATAAAAAAATGATTTCTATTAATAAAGTTTCAAACACATTTATCTATAGAAGACACAATGAATATTAAGAAATTTTTTCAGTATCATATAATTTTATTGTTTCTTTCAATTCTATATTACAAAAATATATAACACAAATGACATAGAAAAGAAAAAAAACATATTAATCATCATGCACTCTTCACCGTACAAAATTACAAATAAAAAAAAAAAGAAGTATTGCTTGTTTTGAAAATATATTTCTTGATTTATGCATTAATTTGTAAAAACATTTGAATTCTTTCTATGAGAGCAGATGGATCAAAATAAACATCAATTGCTGAAGCTTTCTTTTCATTAATATTCTTCCAAAATAAACAAATTGCTTGAATTTTTATTTCTTTATGTTCTGGATCATTTTTAACGATAAAAGTAGCTTCATTTTGTGCATATATGTGATCAGCAAAAACATCAATATTTTTCATTGTATGTCTCATAGATAATAATTGAGGATTTTGTCTTTCAAAATGTTCATGCATTGCTTCTAAACCTTTCATTGTTGGTAAATTGCCAAGATTTAAGGTTATATCAGCCTTATGAAATTCTGGTAACCATCGATCGAGATCAAGTGAATCAAAAGCTTTATAAAAATCATACACCCATGTTTTTGATGCTTCGATTTGTTCATTAGTCAGTCCAGCAGATAATACCATTTTGCTTGAAAATGAAAATTACGTGATAATATTATGTATAAGGTATCAATAAAATGGATACAAAATGTGTGTGTATATATACAGATGGTAAAACTCAGGGTGATTGGTATTAGCCATCAGAGCCTATCATCTCGCTTCATTGACTATACATATCAGATGACGTAATAATCATCCGAGTGATTGTGTTAGAATAAAGAATATCCTTGAGAGAGAGAGAGCGGGAGAAAACAAGAAAAAATCAAAAAAAATACGTACATTTTATAAAATCAGTATTTGCGACAAAAACAAAATAATTCAGTAGGGTATTCTTGTGTTATTTAGTTTACAAAAATTGATTAAAAGATGCAAAATCATAAATATATAGTCTTTTGTATAATTTATTCGTTTTACAACAATTATATTTTCTTTAATAAAAAACGTTTCATATGAATTATAATAATGAAGTCATTTCTTTGTTAGTTATGTTAAACTTTTTTGTTGAATTTTTTCTATTACTTGATTTTGATTGTATTTGTATCGTTTTTTAAACGATTTTATCTTACGATCAGTCTAGTAAAATTATTCAAAGTAGATTATAACTTGATGAAATGAACATTTTCTTGAGATTATTTTCATGCATTTAAGAAAAAAAAAGTTAATTTATCTATTTAAATATCAATTGATGATCTTTATCATTATGAATTAAAATTTAGTTAATCAGTTATTGTTATCTGGCAAATTTAAATTTATACTTTTTTTTCTAAAGTGACTTCTATAATCATCAGTACATTACAACTGTCGATATATTACTAGATAACTGACAGATGCCTTGACTTCATAATACAATGATTAAGAAGAAAGAGAAAACACTCTTCAATGAAAAAAAAATTTTTTTTTGCGTGGTCGTTAAATGTACGTATATTCTTTGCTTAACCGACCATATACAAATGATGATTATAATATATATAAAAATATTTACTCTCTTGGCCTCTATAAAAATCGTTCGAGGCAGACCGTATAGAACAAAAATTATATATCATTAAAGAATACAAGAGAAAAAAAGAGATAAAAGACATGTCACTTAATATTAATCATACTTTATTTGATCGAGAACTGATTTCATTCTATATTAAAACATGTTTAGTTCTTAGTATGAAAATATCTATGTTCTATTCAACCAAACAAAAAAAGTTTCATAATTTCTTTAAGAAGTCGTTTCTTATTTAATTATTTGAAAAAATATTTTTCTCTCATAAGAATACAAGAATCGTTAAACATATCCGAAATAAATTGGGAAATATAAACAAAAAGATTTTCTACGATGATAATAATACTCTTTCAGTTAATTTTGATATTCATAAATTACATATATATCAATACTATTACTTTTATCCTCAAGTGTACATTTTGGAAGTTCATCAGAACAACTACATGTTAGAAAGTGTATCTATATTGGCTCTGGAAATTTTAATATTAGATTAATATTCGACTACCTGTAATACTATTAAATTTTTCTTATTATTTTCGCAATAACTGACAACCATTAGGTCCTAACAGTACATAGGATAAGAAGAAAAAAATGTAAACTAACAATAACAATAACCAGAGAACAAACAGAAATATCTAAGAACTAATATAGAAGAAAATAACAAGTTAATGAAAAAAAAAAGATTTAGGAAAAATACGGGGGAGTTGAATCTTCTCCATATTATACTATTAAATTTTTATAAAGTAATATATCCATTATTTTCTTTTTCGATTACCAACTAACATTTGATATGGAAGATGTAATTAAAAAGTAAAGAACATAGATAATTGATATTTTATTTATATAGTTGGAGAAAACTTTATTTGAATTAAAGCTGCTTAAAATATTCATCTCATTCGATTTTAAATAAGAATTAACTACACTCTTTTTGTTTTCTATTAATAATGACAAACTCTACAGTTACTCTTGATGTAGTATTTAATCTTTTTTCTTTTATTATCGATACAATTAGTTTTTTTGTTTGTTTGATACTTTTATCTGCCATTATTTATCGTATTATCGAAATTAAATATAAACATGGTCAATTAAGGATTGATATACCATTAATTCTTACTATTAACATTATTTGTTCTATTCTGATTAAAAGTATTTTACAAATTATTCATGTAACTATTCCAACATTAATCAAAGATTATCAAATAATTAGTAATTTTCAGGAAACATCTTTCTCTCGGCTTCGAGCCTATATACTTTGGTCAGTGGTTGGTGTATTATATTGGAGTTATACTCTATTAGCATTCTTTCGATTTACTCGAGTTATTTATTCCACAAAACGATGGCTTCATCGATCATCACTTTATTCATATATACTTATTCCTTGTCAATATGTATTTGCATTCATTAATATGTTACCATTACTTGTTATATTTAATAGTTTACATCTGATTCCAAATGAAGGATATTGTGGTGTTAGCTTTAAAGAATTATATCCAACATTTTATGTAACTATTATGAACTATATGTTACCGATTAGTATTATAAGTATATTTTACGTTTGCATTTTTCGAAAAATGCGAGAAACAACAGCAATACGTCAAGAACAAGAATTAGATAGACGAGATTATATTGTCATACGTCGTATGTTGTTTACTATAGCTACTCTCAGTACATTATCAATTCCGTATACTATTGTATATATATTAAGTATAATTACAAATCAAAATGGTTCAATATTTTATCGTATTCAATGGTTTTCAGCATCTATTTGTTCTTGTTTATTTTCACTGACACTTCCATTGATCAATACACAATTATCGAGTTTTCTAAGATCAAATAGACTGACACCAGTAAATCATCAAGCGTAATATCATGTCTAATAGGATGACATTTTAAATATAATCATAATAGTCAATTTTTTAAAAATAATTTTAAGAAAAAAAGAAGCTTACTAAATAATTATTTTTTCAATAGACTCATTTCTTGTTGACGTATGTTTAAAAAACAATAATTAGTTGCTAAAACTAAAATTTAATTTTTTCTTCGCATAGAAAATTCTGTATGGGAAAATATTGAGTTTGATTTATGAATTTTTCTTTTCAACAAAATTGTTCAGTTACACTTCTCTTATTGATATTTTTTATACAACTATTTCGTTGTAATATGTTGTCACTTGTATAGTCTATCAATGCACTGTTTAAACAATATATCAAAAATACAATCTTTTGAAACACAGTGGCACCTCGAAAGATAATCATTTTATAAGCTTGATGATCACTATCAAGAACTTGCAGTGTATATGATCTATTTTAGAACACATTAATTCATTCCTAGACAATTACAGCAAATGATGAGAGAAAGTTAAGTTATAATAATATGGATTAGAATTCTAAAATTTTTAGTAATTGTTTTGATCAATTACAATAGATTATTTTTTATATTACTTAGAATAAATGACTTTTCTAATAGTTTGACGATATGTCTTTTATCTATTTGCGCAGCATCGTATTTTTTCCTTCTATTTAAAATATCAAGTCTACTGTGCGAAACAAAAATGCACGTGAATTACTTTTATGTAAACATTTGAGCCTGAATGCTCTTTCATTGCATCTGTCTATTGTTCAAAGTTAATTAATACGGCTTTTCCTAAAATAGTTGTATGTACCCGTTAGCAAATTATATAATATTTTTACTTCCTGCCTTCTAGATTCTAATTTTAATGATTTCTTTATTGATGACATATTATTTTTAAAATAGCGTTCTTTGATCAGCTTTCATTTTATTAATCGGATTGTTTTTGATGAAAGTAACAATTATAAACAAAATACGTTATAATAAAAAATACTGGGCGATTAAATAAAAACAAGGTATGATAATTCATTGCTGTTTCATTATAATTTTTGCGTGATAATATTCTGAGCATAAAATATAATATTTTTTAATTTTTCTGCACAAGTAATCACGTTTTTGACGCTTTTCTAACTAGAAAAATAAAATAAAATGTCGAATTCAACAGCGATTGTAGATTGTACATTCAATCTTATTTCTTTAGTACTCGATACGATCGCTATTTTTACTTGTGTTATATATATATGTGCTATTGTTTATCGATTTATCGAAATTAAATATAAACATGGTCAATTAAGAATTGATATACCATTAATACTTACTATTAACATTATTTGTTCTATTCTAATTAAAAGTACTTTACAAATTATTCATGTGACTGTTCCAACATTAATCAAAGATTTTCAAATAATGAATAATCTTCAAAATGTATTGTGTTATCGATTTCGAGCCTATATACTTTGGTCAATGGTTGGTGTATTATATTGGAGTTATAGTCTATTAGCATTCTTTCGATTTACTCGAGTGATATATTCAACAAAACTATGGCTTCGTCGATTATCACTTTATTTATATGTACTAATTCCTTGTCAATATATATTTGTATTTATTAGTTTGTTACCATCACTTGTTATATTTAATAATATAGATCTGATTCTAAATGAAGCATATTGTGGTATTGTATACTCGCAATTCTATGCTTCGGTTTATGAAACTGCTATAACGTTTTCTATACCTTTCAGTATTGTGGGCATATTTTATGTTTGCATTTTTCGAAAAATGCGAGAAACAACAGCAATACGTCAAGCCCAAGAATTAGATAGACGAGATTATATTGTCATACGTCGTATGGGGTTAAATATGATGCTTCTAAGTATATTGGCAATTCCATTTGTAACTATATATATAAAGGATAAAATTCAAAATCATTATGAATCAATTTTATATAGAGTTGAATGGTTATCATCATCCGTTGGGTCTGGCTTATTTTCAGTTACACTTCCATTCATCACAACGCGGTTACGTGATATCCTAAAACCAAATGGAATAGCACCAATAAACAATCAACATATGACTTAATTTGTGTATATTTAATCAGAAAAATTTCAATAAAAATAAAAAATACTAAATTTTAATAGTTTACTGTTGATAAGGACGTTAGATTTTAAAGAGAAAACATAGTTTTTTATCTGCAAAAAATTCAAATTCATCAACAGAAGAAATAAATTTCATTCATATGAAGATTAATTTCGTATAAGAGGGTGTATCCCATATAGCCAGTGGTTGCATTATCATTTAATTACTGCGATTATAATGCGTTATTTTTCATTATAATGTATTATAATGGAAAGTAATGCTAATAACTAAATGATAATACAACCACCCGCTACATGGGTAGGTGTCTATTCTTTATCCACACGCACACGCACTCTCACTTTCATATTGAGCAACTAATACTGCATCTATCTTGTTCATTCGTTGACAATAAGCTGGATGTATAGAGATGATATTAGCGGAAGATTGCTCTAGCAGATTAATAGCACACCGTATCGTTTATTTTTTTAAAGACAATTCAAGAAAGAATCAATGATACTTAGAAGAAGATGTGATAAGAAGAGAAAAGAAAAGATATATATGTATATTATACTTGTCATTTGTATGACGTAAAGGACGAAAAGAAAAAAAAAGTGAATCACACTTTAACACATATCAATTTTTATGCTTACCATTTAATTTAATTAGCTGATTTTTAAATATACAAGGGTCAATGAATACAATGATATAGAAAATATTGTGACATCTAAAAACTTTAATCGAAAGTGTACAATATAAATGTGGATCGTTAGCACTAAACTAGTTTTAATCTAAAACAAACACATATTGAAGTAGTATCTTTGTTCTAATGTGTTAACGATTATTCACCGTATTTATCTATCAGCAATATTCATATTGAGGAAAGTTATAATGAAATAGATTTTATATCTATGATGTAAAACTTGTGTTACTAATTTGTATAATGAGAGATGATTCATATGCAATTATATTTTTTTAATATTGGTAACAAATAATATAAAAAACGTTAGATACACGTGCAACTTGAGTGATTATTTTATATTTTATTGAGTAGTATTATCTTATTACTACATTCTTGTGCCTAGATTTTATAATGAAAGGAGTACTAAGTAAAAACGTCATATGGTTTCGAGAGTTGACAGGAACATGTTTTATGTGAAAGACGTCTACAAAATTCATTAAATAAATGAACCTGATGTAATCCAGAAAGAATAGATTGATAATATAACAATGATACAAAACCTCTTTTGCACGTATAATTAATGTCGTATTCTATTTTCAATGCACTTTATCTTCTATAATCTTCTTACAAATAATAAAAACACGTTGTAATTATGATTTATTTGACAACTAGTATGACGAACAATGCCTTTAATTTCAGATATGAACAACTTTAATCATCTTTTATTTGGTTTGAATTATCGACAAGATTCTTTTGTTTGAAGAACTAAAATCATGTCAAACTCTACAGTTTCTATTAATTTTAATCTAATATCTACCATTCTTTCTGCTTTTGCTGATAGTATTGCTATCGTAATTTGTCTTATTTTTTTATTTATTATTCTTTATCATCTTATTCAAATTAAATATAATCAATATCAAGTACCAATTGATGTTACCTTAATTCTTTCTACTAATATTCTATGTGTTATTATTATCAAAATTACCGTACAAACTATTCATGTAACTATTCCAACAGTCTTGCAAGATTTTCAAATAAATATTAAATATAAGAAAACACGTTTTTGTCAAATTCGTGCCTATATATTCTATTCAATGGTAGGAATTTTATATTGGAGCTATGTACTTCTTGCACTCTTTCGTTTTGTTCGAATTATTTATCCAAAACAACTGTGGTTTCATCGATCATCTTTCTATCTCTACATACTTATTCCAGCTCAATACATATTCGTATTCGTTCTTACGCTTCCATTATTAATCATATTCGACGGATTGCATTACATTTCAAATGAACCTTATTGTAGTATTGTACTTACACCTATTTATCCTATAATATATGGAATGACTATAATTTTCGTTTTGCCATACAGTGCTATGTGTATATTATATCTTTGTATTGCTCGAAAAATGCACCAGATGCCAATAGTAGGACAATATTTAAGGCGTAATCGTCGAGATTATATGGTTATACGTCGTATGCTGTTAAATATATTTATACTCTTTATTGTATCAATTCCAGTTTTTATTATTTATATCATTGAGAGTATTTATAATCGTTCAGATTCACTTATTTATCGTGTTCAATGGTTGTTATCATCTTTAAGTTCTTGTTTATTTTCTCTTATGCTTCCATTAATTACTGTAAGACTGCATGATTTGTTAAAATAGAATAAATCAGGATCCAGTACCAATGGGATTTGACAAAAACTACTTGATGTTTATCATAAGCACCAAACTATGTTGTTATTTCACACACATAAAATGGTGTATGATTTTTTTTTTCGTATTATCGTTCATTATTATGTTATCAGTCATTTTTATTCCTCTCATAACATTATACAGTAAGTTGTGCATGTTTTACGTTTATATTATTTAAAAAATATGATAATTAGTAAAATTGAAAATCAATACAGGTCAAATGATCTGTCTTATGTAGTTAATATTTATGGTTCTCGAATTTTATAGGATCGAAAGTTAAGGAGACAGGATGTATCACGCAGTGAAGATTATTCCGTCTTGATCCAGACCTTATGCATACACTTTGGTTTGAACGAGTTCAATAAGAACACCTTTTAATAAGAAAACATCTCCAGATACTATTAGATTGATATAACAATGGAATCTGGTTAATGTCCTAGAACAAATTCCAATAAGGAAAATAAATTCAAATATATTTTAGTTGATTATTTAAAAGTTGCAGATTCGAATAATAATAAATAATTGATATTTTGATCTCTTTGTTTATTTATGTTCACATGAGATATCAAATATTAGAAAAAAAATCAATCTTCTGATTATAATCATATGATTTTCTATACTGCAAATTATTTTAACTTGATATATCTTCTTATAAATATGTATCATCAAAAGAATAAAGTCAGTAGAAAATTATTTTATACGTTCCACTAAAAATGTATTCATCGCTAGTCATTTGTTTTAAAAACTGAAATATGTATATATATATTACAATAATTGAAAATAAAAATAAAAACAGTTTATAAAATATTCTCTATGAATTTGTAAATGTTTCCTTATTATGTCTTGTAGAATGAGTAATCGATGTTGTATTCATAAGAAATTCTAATGTATCAGCATTAAATAATTCTTTATAATTTGGTTCTCGTGTTAGAATATTAACAAGATGATCATCAAGTTGTTCTCCTTCTTCTATATATTGTTTTTCCTGTTCCATTAAATAACGTTTATAACCATAATTCATTTCAAATATATCTACTTGATCAAAATCTTCAATTAAACCACCTTCAATAGATATACGAACATATTTTAAAAATTCTTTTTCATCCGATGTAATATTTGATGTTAATGGATCATCAAGATTCGGTGAATGAAAAAGAAACATAAGACCTTGTAAAATATCTTCGAGTGTAGAATTAGTTCCATCATTCCATTCATTTACTGTTGATACACATACATTATTATAATAATTTTGATATGTTGTATCAATATTTGGATGATAGATACGTGTTAAACATGAAACAATTGGTGGATATTCCGGATAATCACCATCTGTCGATGCTTCAATACGAAAAATATATGAACCATGAGCATATGGACCATCCTGTGGTGTTATCTCAATATGAAATCCAAGAGAAGAAGTTGGTTCATCGGATTCTGAGGAAGATGAAGAAATGGAAGTACGAGCTGATGAATTTGAATGATTAAATATATTATCATAACTTGCATGAGCTTGACCATTAGATAATGAATTGATTTGACGACATAAATAACGAAACTCTTTTTCAAATTGAGCCATTAGAAATAGATACGAAAAGAGAATAGATTATATCTAAAAATAGATGAATTCAATGATTATAAACTGTGACTTGAAACGAACTTGTCACCTGAACTTTAAACCTAAGAGAAATGAAAGTTTCGTCATCGGTAGAAAAAAAATTCATCATAGTGTGAGTCATTGATAAAAGAAAAAGGAAAAAAAGGATTTTTATATGACAACATAATAAAAATACTTTTTTTTTAATTTTTATTTCCAGAAAACTCCAGGTTTTGTTCTTGAACACCATGTTCTCAGTAATATTTTGGTGATTATCATGTTTAAATACTAAAAACTAAGTATATCAGACAAAATATTATCATTTAGTTTTATTAATAAAGCTTAGCAACACTTACTGTATGTTTTTTTTGCTTGGTTTTATGTTTGCCTTCGATTTCTCTATTTCTTTTCTGCTTTATTATTATTCTAGACGACAGTCATAAAAAGCATGTTCAGGAAAAGAATATATGTGTGTTTTTAACAAGAACAACATACATTCACATTTTACTTTCTCGGTAATATTGAGTCACACATTATTATTTTTTTCTGTAGACAGGTTTATATATATATCTATAAAAAAAAAGAAAGATTTCATAATTTTCTATAATGTATGATGCAATAACACGAGTCTTCGTCATCCTAGGTTTTTCTTTTCCTTTTTGTGTCGTCATCTAACAGAAAGAAAAAATGAATGAGATACATGTAGTATAATCGACATTTCATCATCACAGTATGAATACAAAAGAGTAATGATATATATATATTGTAAGTACCAATTGAGGGATACTCTTTTTTTATAAAAATAAACTCTGGTTACCCAGTGATATATGTTTTTATCACTCGCTGTAGTATCATTGTAATGATATATTATTTGATTGGAGTTTGAATTATATTCTATGTGAAGTTCGTTATATATTGATGTACATATGGCTAATTATATGATGTTATAATGTAACCTGAACACATGTTTT